TGTTGCACTAATACAAATCCGGATGTTTTTTCGGCCGCATTTTCGGATCAGTGATGTTCACCAAGTTAATCACAAATCCGGACATTTTTTCGGCTGTATTTTCGGGGCAATGACATTCAGTTAAATACAGATCCGGATGTTTTTTTGGCCGCATTTTCGGGTACTTGAAGTACTAAATTTCGGACATTGGTGCAGTCTATGTGGATCATTATATCTGGATGGAAGTAACTTAAAAAATTTCGGACTTCAGAGCATTCCGCGGGGGGTTGTCTGGTCTGTGTAAAAATTACATCCGAAACTTCGGACATTGTTGCACTAATACAAATCCGGATGTTTTTTCGGCCGCATTTTCAGATCAGTGATGTTCACCAAGTTAATCACAAATCCGGACATTTTTTCGGCCGTATTTTCGGGGCAATGACATTCAGCATGTTAAATACAAATCCGGATGTTTTTTCGGCCGCATTTTCGGAGCAGTGACATTGACCAAGTCAACTACAACTCCGGACATTTTTTCAGCCACATTTTAGGGGTAATGACATTCAGCATGTTAAATACAAATCCGGATGTTTTTGTGACCGCATTTTCAGGTACTTGAAGTATAAATTTCAGACATTGGAGCATTTCATGGGGGTTGTCTGGCCCCTGTCAAAATTACATCCAAAATTTTGGACATTGGTGCAGTCTATGGGGATTATTATATCTGGATGGAAGTAACTTAAAAAATTTCGGACTTCAGAGCATTCCGCAGGGGGTTGTCTGGTCCATGTCAAAATTACATCTGAAACTTCGGACATTGGTGCACTAATACAAATCCGGATGTTTTGTTGGCTGCATTTTCGGATCAGTGATGTTAACCAAGTTAATCACAAATCCGGACATTTTTCGGCCGCATTTTCAGGTACTTGAAGTACTAAATTTCGGACGTTGGAGCATTCTATGGGGGTTGTCTGGCCCCTGTCAAAATTACATCTGAAATTTCGGACATTTGTGCACTCTACAGAGATTAATACATCTGAATGGAAATGACCCACAAAATTTCGGACTTGAGAGCATTCCATGTGGGGCTTGTCTGGTCCATGTCAAAATTACATCCAAAACTTCGGACATTGCTGCACTAATACAAATCACACTAATACAAATCCGGATGTTTTTTTGGCCGCATTTTCGGAGCAGTGACATTGACTAAGTCAACTACAACTCCGGACATTTTTTCAACCACATTTTCGGGGTAATGACATTCAGCATGTTAAATACAAATCCGGATGTTTTTTTGACCGCATTTTCGGGTACTTGAAGTATAAATTTCAGACATTGGAGCATTGCATGGGGGTTGTCTGGCCCCTGTCAAAATTACATCCAAAATTTCGGACATTGGTGCAGTCTACGGGGATGATTATATCTGGATGGAAATAACTTAAAAAATTTCGGACTTCAGAGCAATCCATGGGGGGGCTGTCTGGTCTGTGTCAAAATTACATCCGAAACTTCGGACATTGGTGCACTAATACAAATCCGGATGTCTTTCTGGCCACATTTTCGGAGCAGTGACGTTCACCAAGTTAATCACAAATCCAGACATTTTTTCGGCCGCATTTTCGGTGCAATGACATTCAGCATGTTAAATACGGATCTGGATGTTTTTTCGGCCGCATTTTCGGGTGCTTGAAGTTCTAAATTTCAGGCATTGAAGCATTCCACAGGGGTTGTCTGGCGCCTGTCAAAATTACATCTGAAATTTCGGACAGTGTTGTACTAATACAAATCCGGATGTTTTTTTGGCCGCGTTTTTGGAGCAGTGACATTTAACCAGTCAACTACAACTCTGGACAATTTTTCGGCCGCATTTTTGGGGCAATGACATTCAGCATCTTAAATACAAATCCGGATGTTTTTTTCGGCCGCATTTTCGGAGCAGTGACATTAACTAAGTTAATCACAAATCCGGACATTTTTTCGGCCGCATTTTTGGAGCACTGGTATTCTGCATACTAGTGACAAATCCGGACCTTTCTTCAGCCGCATATTTGGGGCAGTGACATCCAACATGGCAACCACAAATCCGGACATTTTTTCAGTCGCATTTTCGGAGCACTTGCAGTCAGCATGTCAATGCTTCGGGTGATCTCTTGAATGCATGTGGCCCAACATTTGGCCATTCTGTAGATTATACTTTGGGTACCTATGGTACCATTGATTATGGCAATAACCACATCTGCAGAATATGCATTGGGCCACACATTAATACCATATGCTGTAAACATCCATTGGTCCCAGGTATGGATCCATAGTGTCCATGTGTATTGGGCCCATTGGGGTAGCCCTATGACTTATTGGGACAATTGTCAATTTCTATTGTTATGGTACTATAGCGACATCTATGTATACTTGTGGCTCTCCAGCTCGTCGCAAAGACCTCTACGCTCTCATCTCAGACCCTTCAAACTCTGTAGTCCTCTCAGAAGTCAAGCCAGAGCCTCACTAGCAAGCAGAGTAACCACGTGACAATACCCCTTAACCATGAACTCGACGTACCCCATTCCCCCCTCCCGACATATCCTTCCACACATCGGCACGACCTGCTCAAATCCACGCTGTACGACCCCCTTAGAGTTCCCAGTACCATCTCCATACTTGCACCCAGGAACTCTGCTTCAGATCCGATGCTTTCAATGTCAAATGATCGTCTCGCTTGCTTTTATCCAACTTAGGTGCCTTCGTCGACCGTGACATCTTCGAGGTCTAGCCCAGGTTTAGATGGAACTGGAGAACAACAACAGCAGCAGCAGAGAAAGGGCCAAAAGATTGGGACGCAGGAGAGGCCACTTACCACCTCGGTCCTCGATAGCCGCCAAGGTCGTCCCCCATTCGACTGGGGTCGCTGTACACGAAGCCGTCAGCGTCGGCGCTTCCGATACGCAGTACAAGGTTGGACATGATGTATGCTTCAGAGGTGTAGGACGTAGGCTGGTAAGTCGTTGAAACTAGGTCGAGAGGTTTTGAACACTTACCTTGCTTGTGTACCATCAGTCGGACGTTGCCAACGCAACACATTTCTAACAACTCGGTCGTTGAGGGAACACTGGTGAATAATTGAGCAGGCTTTGTAGAGTGGGAGCGGAAAGGGATGGTATGTCTGCTTACCCCTTTGTCGTGAATGTCATGTACA